AGCAGGTTTTGGGCGCTCGGTTAAGATGCCGTTTCACCGCCAAAACATGCCTTTTTTGAAGAACATTCGTTGAACGAAGATACTTTCTCCGTAGCATTTCTGTGTTACCCAATTGGCCATAGCTTGAACTCGCGACCGAATCAAGTAATGCTTGTGCTGAGGAGGAGAGAAATAATAATATGCCGTCCAATGGGATCGACCAGAGTGATCAAAATCAGTTAGATTCAAAATAGACTCGATTCAAGCTGGACTCAAAATATACAACTTTTCTAAAGTATCAGTATTTCGCGAATAGTAAACTCTAGATCGTTTTGTCCAGTCGAGATTCCATAATTTTTAAGGGAAAAAATTAGTACAGGAAATAAAAAAGAACTTCAAGAAGGTGTGGATACTTACGACTGTGGATATACGAGTCAGTCTCGAGTCACATTGCGACCATGTTCTTTTTAATTCAAGTCGAAACGGCTACAAATTTTCACCCCACATATTCTCTGAGGCATCAAAGTTTCATCTGACCGTCCCAGTACTACCGTCGCAGTATTCCAGAAAAGCCAAGTGCATGCCGCAATAATATTTAAGAAAAAAATAATACGTGTAGGGCTCTAAAAAGGCTACCTCGTCAAATCACTGCTTTCTCCCACACTCAATATGCTACACCTCCTAAACTAATTGAAATGGATTTCTGAAAATAATTTATCGATTACTTGGAAGTACGTACTATGAACACTTCCGTAAATGAGCGGGATTATGAAGTTCTAAAAATTTATTATTTTTCAAAATCAGCAAAACCGCCTTACTTGTCTGTTTTTGTCGATTTCTTTTGTCTAAGTTTGTATCAGATCTTGATTAAAATATAATTTCCCAAACTCCATACACTTATGTATCTCTCCCCAAGTAGCAATTTTGATTCAAAATAAATCCATTGGACATTCCCTCATGGACACTTGGACGTCCAATGCATATCCTCCTCGGAGATCCCCTGGATGACTAAATGTCTCGTCCAAGAAAAATTCTTGGACATGTCCATTGGATGGACTATTGGATGTCCGTCTCTGTTGTTCCATTGGAGATTCCCTTGGGGAAAGTTTTTGGATGACCATGGAGGGGTGCAGTGATAGTAATCCCCAGGTAGCTAAAAAGCGTAAATTTGCATGCTCATGAATATTCATGGTTTAGAAAAGGAGCATATCCTGCTTATTGACAATATCGCCCTCTCTCGTTCCTTGGAGGAACAAGAAGAGGTGTTTGGATGGAAAGTGAAGTATTATTTGAGCCGAATCTCTCCGCTTGTGGAAAGGTGAGGAAGCAAATGCCTCCTCATCTCTTTTGTCCCTCCTTTCCCCATGAGGTCGATCAAGTTATTTATGAGAAACTGATTGACATGACTGGGAAAGTCATGTAAGTCGTCAACCTTGTTTTGCTGCAGTATAAAGAACTTGTATTTCTCTTTCAAAAACGTGCTGTTATTGCGGAATGCTCGAAAGTAATGGAAATGAAAGTATTTGCCTTTGAAAATTTGAGGAGCATTGTGAACTCACATGAAATCGAAATTTTTCCGTTTTAGTGTTCCAATTGCACTGGTAGAAACAAGACACACCTGCATCCTGAAAGAGTGATAACTTTTGATGAGGGAAAAAGCTAGCGGATTCTTGGAAAGTCCCATTCCTTGAAGCCTCATCGAAGGAGAATAGGGTAGGCTGATTTGATTTCAAAGTCATATTCTCTTAGGCTATTACTCTGTCCACATAGGCACCTCTTTCATGATTTACTAATTTAATTCCATAATGTTTTATCAAATGCAGAGTGCAGCACGCATATCCCAGACTTTGATCCAAGTGATTGTAGAAGCTGATGGGACAAGAGAAGTCGTCGTGCTACTTATCATAGCATTTATGCATATGCAATCCATTCATTGCTGGCATTCATTGAGACCATGACGCTCAAGGCTCAAAAAAAGAAAGACAAGTTGGGAAAAAAAAACACAAGTACATGTCCAAGGTACTATGAGTCTCGTGCTTTTATTTATTTTTTCCTTCTTTTTTGCATCAGCAGGTATCAGTCATACCTCAATTCCATCCTCCTTTATTTTTTCCCCATCTCACTATGAAACCCCCATATAGTCATGTCGGCCCTCTTCTTGTTTGGCTTATTTGAAATATATCTTTGAAGATTTGTGATACCTAAGTCGCATGGATTACCTCCTTATAGGAGTATAGGAACAAGAGTCTTCCATATTAGTGTAACACGTTGACTCATTTCTATACAGATTTCATACTCCCAAGGCATGGATTTCTCTTGACTCCATGTTCCAATTTCTGGATATTCATGGGAGTGCTATGAAATTCTTTTTTCTTCTCCAATATTTTTCATTGATAATGGCTACTACTGGGTAGAAATTTTCTTTCCTTGGAAATCTCAGATATTAATTCTCATACAGGGACTTTCTATTTCATTTATTTCTACATTACAGACCAATTGACATGGAGTGAATCTTTGTGCTATTATTATCTTGGAGGTTGAAAGATTTCTTTTCACATAAACACATGCTCATTGTGGAAGTCATCAAAGTCAAGGATCCCTTGGAGACACTTCTTTAAACTTAGTGCATAATTTAAAATTAATAAAATTAGCCCGTGCGCGCACGGCCTGAAATAAGTCTAATTAGAACATATCTTGCATGACTTGCATTACGCTCTTTCTTAGTCAGTTTCACAATTCCTGGAAGTATCCGGCGAAGCAGAGTTATGTGAGCGTCGTCATGCACCTTTATCCACTGACTGTGACTCCAGAACTTTTATCTTTCTCTTACTTTCAGTAGATCCCGCCACAGAATAATTTAAACTGTCCCAATTTTTCTGGCATTTTGAGAACGCCAACATATACGAAATAACAATATTGGAGCACCAACTCAATTCTGCAAACATACTCGAAGCACTGTCATAAACAGGCGACGGAACTGCTAGCGCGACTAAGTATGACATATGATCATTGCCAGCAGTTAGGATAGCAACAACTTCCGTAGCCGACAATGCCTCACACTATCAGTATTGGTTCTGTGCACTTCGCCCAGGAAGGTATTCAGTGCGATGCTCGCCGAAATAAGGCCTAACGATGTGAAAATGGTAGAACCTTTAGAGCTTTCTACCCAATAGTCATCAACATCAGGTTTCAAAAGAAACATAATTTAAAACTGAGTTACCCAAAAAGAGTTTGTAACTCTTAATAATAAGATGGAGGGCGGCAGGACGATTCCCGTTATCAGAGACCTCCCATTTCCCTTTTGTAACGATGAATAACGATGAGTTCCACCGCATAGCATTCTAAAGGGACAGACATTTAAAATATAAAACGAACATGTTTTCGATCGATTATAAGGGGATACGTTTCGAATAAGTATAAGTTGAAGTACAAGCACCAAAAAAGTGGATGAACGAGGCTTGCTTTTGTTAACACGTGAACTTTTGAACATTCATTGAAAAAAAATCTGCATCCTGATATTGCGGCATGCACTTGGCTTTTCTGGAATACTGCGACGGTAGTACTGGGACGGTCAGATGAAACTTTGATGCCTCAGAGATTATGTGGGGTGAAAATTTGTAGCCGTTTCGACTTGAATTAAAAATCTGCATCCTGGCATCAGGACGCATTGTCGCCAACGTGTTAACCCTCTCTGTATGCAGCATCCTTTTGCATCCTGCGACGATTTTCCGTTGCATGCTTACAACTGCCATGTCTTTCAAATTCCATCGCATCAAAGTGCATTTAAAAAAGTTCATCTCAGTCATTTCCATGGTTGCTATTCAAACGATTATTGAATCAAAACCGGATTATCGGTTTCGTTTTAAATACGCCGCACACTTAAAATGGTGCCTGGTTTGCTTTTTTTGGCTGCAAATCAGTGAACCGACAGTCTCAACATTTTTGGGTACGATACAATTTTGGACGCCCACTGCCTGGACAACGTTTTCCACTTATATATTTTTAAAGTTTTTTTTAAAGAAATCCGCTATTATTTTTTTAAAATTCCATTGGCGATCTAGAGACTCAGCGAGAGTTTGATTCATTGAGTAATTCTTTTCCTGAGGCAGCGTGGTAATGAAACAATTGTCACTCTCGCTCAAGACCATTTTGAAGTGTGCAAAAATGTAAAATCACATTTTTGAGAATACAATTTAAACTTGAAAATGAAAGAGAATAATTCAAGTTCAAACGAAGAAAAAACGCTACGTTACATTGAAGAAAAACATGTCTGACGGCTAGAATTCAGTACGACAGCAATTGATAAGTGACCAGCGATACAACGGCGTCACGCTCGCAAAACCGGTTTTGAATCAATAATCGTTCGAATAGCAACCATAATTGGAATGAACTTTCTAAAATGCACTTTTATAGGATGAAATTTGAAAGACACGGCAGTTGTAAGCATGCTACGGAAAATCGCCGTAGGATGCCAAAGGATGCTGCATGCAGAGTGGGTTTTAACAGGAAGCCAGCCTTGTTCATACACGTTTTTTTGGTGCTTGTACTTGGTTTGCAATGGCTCCGATTCCGTTGAAGAAATTTTGATAAATGATATGGCGATGGAAAGAGGATTGATAGGCCTTTCAATTCCCGTTGCGAACATGAAAAAAGGTTCATTTGTTCAATAGATCTTGCCGATCAAAATTGGTGCGGTTTTTTTGGACCACCCTGTATATGGATATTCCTGTCCTATCATGCCAAGGAGGTGGTGATCCATCAGAAGATGAAGAATGTGCGGGCGCTGATGATATCCTGCTCTCCTGACTGAACTTGACATTGGAATGATCCTAGTAGTATTTCAATTCTGATGTTTAACAACTGCAACCTTACAAATTCTGTGTATGTAGGTGCTATGCAGACTGTAGGGTGAGTTGAATTCTGAACCGCTCATGATGTACACTCCCTAGGTCACCTAATTTTACATAAGAAACATAGATAACCTCTTTCAATCAAAATAAACCAATGCCTGGTCTCAAAACATGAATGGTAAATTTCTATATTTCCTTTCGAATGGTATTGACCTGAAAGCCCCTAATTTCATCATGTAGGTGAGGGGGTGGATTTTAAGCTGAATGGGGTTTGAATTTGTGTCACTCGCCCTATATCAATCGGACAATGATGTTGTAAAAGATTCCTCCTTTTCTTAGGGGGAGAAGGGGTCTTTATTTCACTTTTTTCAATTGATTATCTCATAATTGTATATTTACCCAAATAATAGTACTTATACTCTTTTTGGAAATGTACTTTATGCATTACCATCCATTATGTATATTTTATGCATTCGTAGTAAAGCAGTAACAGTGACCATTGAATAGCCAAGGTGCAGGTCAATCGTCCTTGTTTGCAGAAATCATATGTGTGTGTCCTAAAAAGCAAAGGAATAAGCCCTTTAGTTATCGTAGATCCAGAGGTTTTTTAATTTATGCATGCATGAATGCATGCAGATTAAATGTCTGTGTTTTCTGATGCACTATTGGTGGTAAAGATGATATGACTTGGAGAGAGGATGGCAACAGGAACAGCATTGCAGAAAGCCATTGATCTGGTGACACGGGCAACAGAGGAAGACAAAAACAGAAACTATGAAGAAGCTTTACGCCTGTATGAGCATGGTTTAGAATACTTCTTGGATGCCATCAAATTTGAAGAGCATTGCAGAAAGCCATTGATCTGGTGACACGGGCAACAGAGGAAGACAAAAACAGAAACTATGAAGAAGCTTTACGCCTGTATGAGCATGGTTTAGAATACTTCTTGGATGCCATCAAATTTGAAGCCCAGAGTGAGCGTGCCAAAGACAGTATTCGTGCTAAGTGCATTCAGTACCTGGGTAGGGCTGAGAAGCTCAAGGAGTTTCTTCATGAAGGAATGAAGAAAAAACCTCTCAAGTTGAGTGGGTTTCCTCCATATTGTCATCCCTGTCGTGCTGCACTACATTTGCAAGGAGGAGGTCGTATTGATCATTCCATTCCAGGTTTCCTGACATGAAGATCATAAATTGGCAATTGAGATGCACATGAGTTTTCATATGCTTGGTTGTGACAGAGATGAGTCTTAGCTATTGTTAGATTTCTTGATTAAGGGTTTCCCATTGAGAATGCTTACTGTTGGCTATCTAGTTTCCTTGGATTAAATTGCATAATATCTGGATGTTCTCCTACCAAAGGAATGTTAATCAGTGAATCAGGGCAGTTTAAGGAAATATTAAACATCTCTTCAAGATATTTTAGCAGTCCTATGAGCATTATGCTGGCTGTCATAAGCCTTGCCCTTTAAATCTTTCCTATTCAATGTTTTTGAAGATATTCTGTTTCTATTTAAGTGATGTTAATGAAACAGGTCTCATTATCTCAAAATTTCCATTCTGGGAACCTTCCAAAAGACCCCATTTGTACCTGACTACATTTCAAATGTATTTCTTGCCATCGTTCACCCTTTCTCATTACCTAGGGACGGGAAAGTCATACTTGGCTAAGGCTGTGGCAGCAGAAGCAAGCAGCTCGACATTCTTTTCCGTGTCATTATCAGCCCTAGTGTCCAAGGGGTTGGGAGATATAGAAAAATTAATGAAAAATCTGTTTGACATGGCACGCATCCATAAACCCAGCATCATCTTCTTTGATGAGATCGATTCACTCAGTTCCTCTCGGTCGAACAATGAGTTAGAATTCGCCCGATGCATAAAGACTGAGTTTCCCGTCAGTCTTCTTCTTCCTCTCTTCTCATCTACTTCATTCCTATAGTCCCTCTTAATTTTCAATGCTTGCCCTATTCTCACAGGTCCAGACGCAAGATGTTGGGGATGACAATGAAGGAATATATGTGTTGGGAGCCACCAACATCCCGTGGGTGCTGGATGAAGCCATTCGAAGGAATTTTGAGAAGCGCATCTACATTCCTTTGCCTGAAGAAAATGCTCGGACTGAGATCTTCAAAAAACATGTTGGCACCACTCCAAACACACTCACTGAAGAGGACTTCAAGGCATGCTTCTCCTCAGGCTCCTTTTCTCTATTTATTTCCATATATCAAAAGTACAGGGTAATTTTTAATTAAGCGGACCATTAAACATATTTTTAATATTGGAACAAATAGAGTTAGATGTCTGAAATTTCGCATCAAGAATCCATAAACATGGGAAAGTTTTACTTTATGCAAAAAAATAGTTCATTGTGTCTTCCCTTGTGCGCAATTACATGTCTTAGGGGTGTGGTGTAATTCTGCACAACTGCCTGCTCAGGAAAATAGGATAACGTCACGTTCTGTGGCCGCCTTCAGGTCTCTAAACGTGCATGAATTTAACTATGACTCAAAAAACTTTATCCTTTAGGTACCCCAGAAAATAATTGTCACATGGATTGAGATCGTGGCCTGCCAACACGGCAAACGTGTTAGACTTCCTGCACTAGAACTCCGCTGTTTAGTAGATTTACTGATCTCCACAGCGGTAGATTAGTATGGTTACCATTTCCCCCTAATCTCAATCCATGTGGTTATTTCCTCTGGGGATACCTAAAGAACAAAGTTTATCCGAATTCATCAAAGAATCAACGAAATCCATGGACTTTCGGGGATTTGAAGGCGGCTACAGAACGTGACGTCGACTCCATTTCCAGGGATACTTTTCAGGCAGTCGTGCAGAATTGCACCACACCCCTACGACCGGTGATTGCGCACAGAGGAAGAAGCATTGAACATGTTTTTTCAGAGTATAATATTTCGATGTTTATGGATTTTTGATTGAAATTTTCCTGCATCTGACTCTCTTTGTTCCAAAATTAAAAATATTTGTTATGGTCCCATGGGAAAAAAAAACCTGTATATAATAGAAAACTGAGGAAAGAACCAGGCCCTCAGATGCTGCCCGAGCACGACGAAAGCCCTTAAACTCGATTAAATTAAAATGTAAAGCTTTCAGCAGATTTCACAGTAGCGAAAACAGAATGTATCTGATTTTCTCAACTTTCACTTCCGCCTCCCAAAGAACTTTTGACCTTCCCATTTCTTTAATCGAATTACTTTCCCTTCCATCCGTGACTTCATGATTCATGTACTTGGCAGAACCTGGGGAAGAGGACAGAAGGATATTCGGGAGCAGACATCAGCATTGTGGTCCGAGATGCTCTTATGGGACCTGTGAGGAAAGTTCAGGCAGCCACACATTTCCGCCGAGTGTCAGGTCCATCTCGAGATGATCCCAAGATCATTGTGCATACTTATCTCACTCCTTGCTCGTCCGAGGATCAAGGAGCCATAGAGATGTCATGGATGGATGTTCCTGGGCAGGAACTCCTGGAACCTAAGATGACCATGATCGATGTCCTCAGATCCATAGCCAATTTCAGGCCCGCAGTGAATGATGAAGACTTGTTCTTTTATAACTTTAAATTCCTTCTGAAGCCCTACCTTTATACTTGGAGATAAAGTGAAGGGAAGTTAGTGGCCACAGGACGGGAGCAGAGAATGGAAGAGCGTAGATTTCGGCCAGGAAACTAAATCCATTCCTTTCCAATGTTCTATATCTATGATGTGGATTCTAAACTTGCTTGTCCTGCGAGGATAAGTAATCTGGGATGTGCTTCTAACTATATATGAAGCTACTAGCGTAGCCCCACGCAAATTGCGGGAAATTTCAATGTAGCAATTTCTAGATTTGACCGCAAATACTTTTTATCCTGATGGTATATAGCCTAAAGGAAAATGTCTCGATTACCATATAACAGTAGCAATTGAAATTTTGTCCCTAGATTTTCATCGAAGAACACGAAATATTTTTATGAATCTTAGAAGTAGACTTTTAAAAACGTGCACAGTATTTTTAGTTCTAAACCAATTGGAACCCGACATTCAGTGTATACCTGGTGCCATTGTTGCCTGGGTATCAACTTCACCGGGGTCAAGGCTCTATCTTCACATTGACATTTTTCAAGTCGATAGTCTTGAAAAGGCTAAATACAACTTCCATGGAACAATACAGACTCAAGAAGGTACAAACCAATTCTTTGGAATGTTTGCCCTTGGCACTTGTTGATACTCATAACTAAAGCAAAACGACTTGGGAACTGTCACCCTTTGATCTTGAGAGTCATCGTCGGGCCTTGCTTACCCTTTGGGTTTCTCATGACCGTGACGATTATACTTCTATTTCAAGTTGGGGGAAATTGGGGAAAAACATGGGGAGGAAGACCAGCTGGAGAGAGGCTGTTGAATGGATCCATTGGATAATAATTTTGATATTTCTTATGCGAGACCACATTCACGGCCCTATGGTAGGTATTCTCGCGTGCTCATCCTCGCATATTTATTTTTAATGTTTGTCGAACAGTGAATGAATGATATAGTCACAGAACATAAAGTGCAAACACGTAAACAAACGTGCATGTTAAACAAAGGCTATTTTTAACCGAGCTTCCAACCATTTTTTGTCGTATGCATTATGGGAGTAAACAATGCAGCTCTGTAGTCCCGTGTTTCATTCCAGGGAGTAAATAACGAATNGTCTTTATTTTAATAAAGTTAAGTAATTTACTTGGAAAGATCACGAGGGTTTCCATTTCTCAAGAATTTCTGTCTGGCGAACCTGCCTTAACTCTCGAATCTGGAACGGGACAGGTGACCAATTAATATTGATCGCTTGTTACGTCACATCAAGGACCGAATTGTTCCAGATCTAGCTTTAAGTTGCGTAGGGCGGAATTGTAACATTTACATCTTATCGTTTTTCTGGTCTGAGAACAAGGAAATTCCGTGTCAGGATTGAAACTTATTCATGCATGTAATCTGTGAGAAAGGAAATTGTAAAGTGGTTTACTATGAATGAAAATGATGGAAGTACGGATTTTAGACGGGCACAGGACAGTTAATGACTTCAAAGGATCTTTGTCTTCCAAGAAATTTTCGATTGTCAGCGGACTATCGATGATCTCCCTTTTTTATATATTTTTTCACAAAACAACTTGGAATGATGGGGAAATACGCAGAGAAGCATAAAGCTTTTAAGATTGAGTGTGGGCCATGACTTGAATTGGGCTCATTGAGTCCGGTACGTGAAAATCGTCCCGTTCAAGGCACTACCTGTGGTAGCATCGTGGTGAAAAATGGGATAGTTTTTAACGTGGTTCTGTTACCTCGTCGTTCTTTGTGGCATCAGTTCAGATCTGATTTACAAAGAAAATTGCTTGAAGGACTTACGTGGGTTAGGCCAAAACCTAACCCTCGGACCTCACTTTTTTCTTATGTTCCCTCTCTGTTGCCGTCCCCTGTAATAATGCCACTTCATAGTCCCGCCAGGTGTTTCATTACGGGGAGTAAATAAGGAGTTCTAAATGTTTCATGGGTAAAACAGCAGTTGTTTTCGCTATTGAGGAATCATGGATTAGAGTCCTCCACGGCTTTGGCCCGACCCGACCCGCGGACCGACTAGGGCGGAGTTTTTCGCGATTCTTCTTCGGGTCGGGTAGGGTCAAGCCGAATTTTCGTCAGAATTCTTGTTTCGGGTCGGCGCGGGCCATGACTTGAATCGGGCCTATCGGGTCGGGTACCGAGAAATCGACCCGTGCAGGACTCTATCAGGGTAGCATAATGGTGAGGAAATTGATAGCTCGTAGCTCATCCTGGGTTGAAGATATTTCAAATCTGATTGTTCGATGCTTCCCTCTTGACCATAGGCTTTCGAACGATGCATAACGTCAGGATATCTATTCGCATAACGCCGGAACGCGGCTTTCAAACATATTAGGGCGTATTATTTTATATAGATTCTACATATAGAGTATATATTTCATTGTCCAGGATAGTGATTCATTCCATAATTCGTTTTCGAAGTGGCACAAACGTATTAAAGGTATGTTCCAGTCGAAATATGTGCCATGAGAGGAATTAGAACAGGAACGCTTATCCTGAGATCGAACAGTATTGGTTGGACGTGTAACCATACTGTTTCTCCGAGAAACGGTGTGGTTACTACTTACTATTTTGCACTCATAGGCCTGCATGAAAAGTGGTGAAAATTTACTTTACGGATGATACAGACAAGGTCGCGATTGATACAGGAAAGGAGCGCCAATCGGGGACGGGGTTCCAATGGATAAAGGGGTCAGGATCCCCAGAAATGCAGAGGCGGCGATCTCAACCCCGCGAGGAAGGCGTACTTTCTCCAGCGGGATGCAAGGCGACTTTAAGGGTCACATGCGGGGACGGTTTGCTCGTCCCCATGGGAAAGTCCGTATCGTTAGGTGTGAACACCACGGGCGGTGTAGAATGTTCGAAAGGCTGCTGCGTAGATCGTTGAGAGGGCTGCTGACTGAAATCGTGAGTTCATGAAAATCCTACACGTTCGGGTTAGTCCAGTCAAATATTTCTGCTGGTTTATTGTCGGGCCAGTGCTCGGGAAGTTGTCTCATTTTCTGCGAATGATTAGCTGGCCAACTCATATTTATGAGTTCATCATGAGCCAACGTAGGAGCCAATCATTCGCCGAAGATAAGATCATTTGGCTGAGAATGTTCCGAAAACTGTCGTGAGATGGAGCAAAAGTGGTTGTAGTAGGGAGTCACTTCCCGGATGCTACACAAATGAGTCCCCTTTCTCTTAGACACAGTTCACTAAGATTGCTCACATGGAGCCCAGAAGAAGACAATCAAATACAGAGTGGTTTTTAAAACATCATTGTTTCAAATTCATAAAACTTTTTTTGCAACAACATTTCAGTGGTCAAATTTGCACAGAATTTGAAGACAGTACGGGAGTTTCGTGTGGGTTCAAAAACATGAATGAGTCATGAAAAATATTGCAGGTGGCAGCGCTGAAGCAATATGGCTTCCTTCCTTGAGGAGTATAAATTGTTTTTTTGTGAAATGGTAGTTCAACCTAAACGAATCGCCTGTAAGTGTGCAAAGACACTATCAACGACACTTTCAGACCAGGAATGCACCATCTAGCAAGACTAATGCCATACTTCTTAAGCACTTTGAATCGAAAAGTGATGTCAGGGACCGTCGCATGGGCCATTCCCAACACCCCACCACAGCTCGCAAAATACCCGGCAAAATATCGATCTTGCACAACCATTGGAAATCCGCAATCCCAGAAAGGCCGTGCGACGAGCTTCACAAAAACTTGAAATTTGTATTCAGCAACATGGACGATTGAATCGGAAAGCGGAAAGGTGTACCTTGACCTCTTCAGTAATCTCGACTCGCCCGATTCCACCACAATTTGTTACCCTACTGGAAACCAGGTCCAGCTAATTCAAAGTCGAGAAGAAGAGACCAATACGAGTACAGCTTTTACGAAAAGCGTATTATCTGAAATTACGTCAGAGAAAGGAAACTTAACAAAACCAAATATAAAAATACTGAAATTCACAGAAACTGCCACAAAATCTCTTCTTATGTTAGTTTGAAAAAAATATTCAGGATCTGATTAATAATTTAGAGAAAACATCCAGTCCAACAAAGAGCTTGTACTTATTCACGGACTAAATCCGCCAAGGTCCGGGAAGAACTCACGCCTCAAAAATATAGCTGAAAATATCCTTCAATTATCTTTCCCTACATAATTTTTAAAGAAGGAAAGGTGGCCAGTTTTATGACCGTTCCCCGGTCAAATCGTCAGTGATTTGAATTCCGAACCTCTGCTCTCCAGTCACTCCGGAGAAAGGAATCTTCATTGGGGACTCCTTGGATTGACGACTGAGTTTGGCAGAGGGTATCTCACAAGAGGGACTTGACTGTGAGGAGACCAACCGTAAGGAAAGTTAATTCAAAGTCGATGCATCATTCTAATGTCATGCAATTTATCAGTGATACAGTTATCATTTAAGGAATTACAGGGTGTTCGTCTTATTGCCAGCCTTGCTATGACGGACTGCTTAGCGAGCGATGTGTAATGCAGGCGTGGCCTGTGGAAGGAGGATTTGGATGGCATGAGAGGACGAATGAATATCAAGGAATGGCCGGGAATCGTACCCGGGCCTCCTGACTGCCGGTCAGGTGTGCTACCACTACAACGCCGAACCTGGGATATTCAAACGCGCCTTTCAATGTCAACATCAACACTATAGATGTCTTGTTAACTGAGTGCGCCGGGGCCTCTTGGGGTTTTGCCGGGTCCCCATGCTTTTTTAAAATTCATTTCGCTTACCTTACTTTAAAGATGATGTTACGTAGTGACTCTTAGCTCACAAGCATTCTTTGCACCATTTAAAAACACACGTCTGAGCCCTTCATACGTGATGCTCAAAACTGACTGATATTTTCCTTCAACTCTTCTGAGTGAGGGTTACTTTCGTACACTTTGTCTTTCAGATTGCCATAAAGAAAAAAATATCAAGAACTTAAGGTCTGGTGATG